TCAGCAGCCGCCTTCAGGGGCGCTGGCGCCTCGGCACCGCTCTAAACGGCCCGGCCGCGGGCTTCCCGCGTCGCCGCAGCGGCTGGCGGTCCAGCCCAAGCCACACGTCCCTCCGCTCTCCCCCCTCCTTCCCCAGTGCATCCTTTGCTTATTTTAGGGTCACCCCGGTGACCCCCGAGGTCGGGCTTGGAGGGCGCCGGGCGTGAGGCGGCAAACTGCCCGGGTTGGCGCCGAACGGCCCGCAGCCTCCGCGGCTGGGGCGGCCTCCGCGGTCTCCATGGTAACGGCCCCGCCGGCGTCTCGGCCTTCGGGGGAAGATGCGGCCTGCGCGGCCCGGCTCCTCGGCCCCGGCCTCACGGCCCGGCCGGGGCCACTGAGGAGGACGGTGCGGCCGCCGCACTGCCCGGCCGCGGGCGCCAGGTGAGAGCGGGGTCCCTCCCTGCCCAGCCCAGCCCCTTCCCTGAGCGCGACCCCACTGCGCCCCGCCGCGCCGGGGCTTCTGCGGCGCCGGACGCTTTTTGCTTTGTTTCTGGTTTTCCTGGCAAACAGCCGGGGAAAGACTGTCGGCGGCTGCGGGGAGCCCGGGGACGCGGTGGGTGAGCTCCACCCAGACGGGGAGAGGATCCGCAACGGACTCGCTCACCCCTGCTCTCCCTTCTTTCCAGTGAAATCCACTCTGACTAGAGAACAGATGGCCTCAAATGAGAGAGATGCTATATCGTGGTACCAAAAGAAGGTAATATCAGCATATGTTTTTATTATTCTTTGTAAAGCACATTTCCTGCTAAAAGCGCCCCCAAAGGCTAGTATCACGTTGCGTCCCCCCAGCTTGGGCTTGCAGGGGCCGCCCCACACGGTATCTCACTGTCAGTGGAAACACTGAGTATCAGATAATTCCGGCTTTTAAACCCCGTCTTGGGTTCCCACGTAAGACTTCCAAGTCACCTTGTGCCGCAGCTGCGAGGCAAGGCCCCAGCAAGGCTCTGCTTCTATCAAACTGCAGATTTTTGAAGCATGAAACTTTTTCTGTGTTTTTATTGGCACTTACGGAGCCAGCCCTAAGTGAGCTTTTTCCCTCTTTAGTTTTCCTGCCGATGGTTTTCTTGAGTTGGCCATACCTTTTAAGGTAACCTTTAATTTAAAATATTTGGATGTAGCTTTTTAAATTTGCAAATTTTAGATCCAGCTGCTGAAGAGCTTTGAGGGAAACAATAGTTGAGAAACACTTTCCAGATACCATATTGCTATTTCATAGTTTCACTTGTTTTTGAGGTTTGACCTAAAAGGGTTTCCTTTGCGTTTTAAATACTCTGATCCCCATTTCAGATTGGAGCATATGATCAACAAATATGGGAAAAGTCAATCGAACAGACTCAGATTAAGGTAAAATGATTTACTCGCTTCTAGCTTTGTTTTACTGCATGATTTAGTGGATTTAGCTTTTAAGAAATATGTATTTATTCCCCAGTAGGATATTCTCGAGTCATCAAATCTTATAAGGAACACATTACATATAGCATGATAAAAATATAGCTGATATCAGGGAAATAAAGAATGGTTGGTCTATGGTGAATTAGAGGTCAAATATCCCAACTAGGTGGGACTATAAAAGGCTTCCTGACACTAGCCAGTTTCACCTGGTGGTGATGCAGGTCCACTATTGCCAGAACTTCAGTTTTCAAGCAAATTTGGGCATAGGCATTTTTATATGAGATAAACCCAGGTTTTTTCCCTTTTCAGTGTGGTGTCCCCTACAGTCTCCTCCTCTTCAGTAGCAAGTCAAACCAAATCCATTTGTTGCCTGAATCCCTTTTTCAGTTGGCTGATGTAGAATATATTGTCTTAACTTTTGCAGATTCTTAAGCTTTTTCCTACACTGGTCTTAGAAATGAGCAGATTCGTGGGACTATTTTATGCTAACCACGCAACCAGAAACCATATGTGATTCAGAATGACAGTTTATATAGCAGGATGTGGAAAGCTTATTTAATGTTCCAAAGTCGGGTTGTGTGGTGACTTAACCAAATTAGTCATTGAGGTTATTTGGTTGCTGAATGTAAATGGATGGTTTGGAGAGTTGTAGAGAAGCCTAAACACCATCCCTGCATGTTTTTTATTATTTTCTTTTTGGTAATATTTTTACATTTTAAAAGAATGTAGCTTTATTAGGAAAAGGAGAAAAAGGCATGTGCTTAGTCAGATGGCAGGAGAGCTGTCTCTCCTGTTTTGCAAAGGGAGGAGGCTCGTAAGAAGAAACAACTGCAGAAGAGATGCTGAAAGTTATCTTTCAGTTGCCTTTAAAGCCTATATACAGGATTCAGGCTTTTCTTTGGTAAAATTGTCCGCCTTGTCTTTCTCTTTTAAAGATTTGCTGCAGGTCTTCTAATTTTAAAGTCTGTGCATAGATGGGTGTAATATTGTCACCTGTGACTTGCTAAGGAGAGCAGTTGTTATAGCTGCTGCACTTAAAACAATGAGAATGGGCTTCATCAACGCTGTCCCTGAGGCCCTTGATGCCCCAGTGAAATCTGAAGAATGATTAGCGGTTAATTAGGTCTAGAGTGAATATTCTAATCCTACACCAACTCTTCAGAAGACAGAAGTAGACTTCTCAAGTTATCCTGTGACGCTGGTATTACCCTGATTCCAAAGCCGGATAAAGACATCACCAACATATTTCATTCATCATGAACATAGGTATGAAAGTCTAACAAAATATTAGACCAAATTGAACATGTGGAATGTATTTTCTACTGTGGCTGAGTAGGTTCTATTCTAGAAAGTGACATTGGTTTAACATTTGAAAAATAAGTTAACATACTATATTAATAGAATAAAGGATAAGACTACGTGATCTTCTTAGTAGTCACAGAAAAACGTTTAACAGAATTCAGTGCCCATGAACAAGAAACTAGACATAGAAAGAAGCCTCCTTAGCCTGTCAAGGGATATTTACAAAAAACCTACAGTTTACATCACACTTAATTACTAAAGACTGCCCCTTAGGTTGTGAGCAGTGTACTGAAGGTTCTAACCAATGCATTAAGGCATGGGAAAGAAGTAAAAAGCAGAGATGAAAACTACCTTTATGCTGGCACATTCTAATATTGAGAAACCCTAAGGCAT